AGCAGCTGAGGTCTCTTCACTTCTATTGAAAATCCAGGCAGACCCCCCTCCAGTGGTGAAGCCCTTTGTGGGCGTTTGTTCCATTCCGTCTCATTCACAGTCCTAACCTCTGTTTCAAACCCTGCTTTCTACTTTCTTAGTGTGGATCTGTGTTTTCTAGCAGATGCCTGGTATTCAATGCGAAGTCCAGCTTGGCTGTATCTTCAACCTTTGTGTAATTAAGTTTAAACCTACGGTGCTTAATTAATCATATGAGGGACAGGACAAGATACTGTGACAGCTGACTCCTGAGTGGGGAGCTTCAGGATGGTTTTATAAGGAACATCATTTCATGCCGTGCACAGAGAAAGGACTGCGCTTCCAGATATTTATGTTGAAACGGTCTCTTCTCAACTCTCAGATGGGTTTTATTTAGAGGGCGCCACCCCAGCACATTGCACAATGTGTTGGATTCTGTGTGCATTTGTCTTTTGCTCCGTCTGCTCCCTCATTGAAGGAAGGTTGTGAAGTGCAAGAGGCTCCATTTTACTCACTTGGCAGCCCCAGCCTGGCACAGGACTCCTGCAAAGGCAGGGACTTGGTGAATGTTGTTTGAAGGAAGGGAAGGGTCAGGAGCGCCTTAGAAGTTGATCTGCCCCAGGTCCCCATTAGCGGCATTGCTGACTGTGGCACTTTGGGCAAAGGGAAATCTCAGTAAGCTGGGTGTGGCGTGGATTGTGAATTCATGTTGATTGCCTTACCTCGTCCCTGGAGAAAATAGCTGTCTGTGTGTGAGCCTTGGACTTAATATCTAAATTTAATAATGGATATGTCTAGGCCCGGGGTTTTCTTGTTCTTCGAGTTCCATTTTATGTGGAGTGAGTCTCCTCCCTGCTTTAGAGATGCAGTGCTTTCTGCCTCATGATAGGAGGGAGCTCCTTGGCATGGCTCTCGGAAGCCCTGGGTAATGTTGTGTGGTTTTAATGGCATCTCAGAGGGGGTGGGACTGATTCAATTGAAGTCATTTCAAGAAGCAGCTCCTTTCAGTGAGGCAATAAGGACTGTCTTGCTCTGTCCTCTGGAGCCCCTGTGAGGGGCTGCCTTGTCGAAGGGATGCCATTAGCATCCAGGCAGCATGCTACAGGAGTGAAAGATTTCACCTGGACTTCAAGAAACTGGCTGCAGGGTGAGGCTGCCGCTAAAACCGGCCACTCAAATGCCAGAGACGGTCCATGGCTGGGAGATCTGACTTGAAGGACTGCAGACAGCAGTTAGGGCCATGTGAAAATGTCATGGTAAGCCAAAGATGAATCTGACATGTCTGGGTATGGCATGTGGAGACGTAAATGGATCGTTTTAGGTTACTCTTCGCGAACAGCTCTTCCATCCTTAAGATATTGTTTAGCTTTCAATTGCCTTTGTACTTTGGAAATTCTAGTTGAGCCTGAATTTTAAAAATCTTACCCAACAAAGAGATGTCAAAGATTTAAGTGTTTGCTTGGGATTATCTGAAAGGAGGTTGTGCTTTACTTGTTCCTTATAAAACCACCCTGAAGTCTTTTTGTCCTGTATTAGAGACAAAGTTTTTAAAAGCAAGACAGTGTCATCAATTTTTACATAAACTGTGCATATTACTACTTGACTCAGCAGCTCGACCAGGGCCCAGCCTCAGTTTCTTCTTTTAAGTCAGTCTGTCTTTCAGCAGACTGCAGTTTCCACCCTTCCTGCGGTCCCTCGTTATTTTGTAAGCACCTGCTAGGGGGCACCACCTCTTTGATCCCCGGCTGCCTGGCGTATATTCTGACTCTACCACTTAGCAGTTTTACTGTGAGCAGGTACTTAACAGTTCAGACTTCAGCTTCGTCCTCTGAAAAAAATTGGGAATAATAACGGTAATACTTGCAAGACGGTTGTAATGATTAGACTAGATGGTACTCGCCAAAAAGCACAGTACCTGGCGTATATGTGATCCCTTATGCTATTTAGAACAAGATCCAGTTACTGTCCTTAGGGAGTTTATGGCCCAGTCAGAGAAACAGACAAGTCCATAAAAGATCGGGGGTCAATGAGTAGTAGTGATTTATATTTATTTATATATATATATATATATATATATATGTATATATAGTATATACTATATATATAGTAGTGAGGTCAGGGTTTACAGAGCTCCTGTTATGTGCAGGCAGTTACGGAGATAAGATGCCTGGCTTCAGGAGGCCTACAGCTGCCAGGCAGTGTGACAGAGCTGTGCAGAGGGGGGCGTGAGAACAGGATTCTCAAGAATGGGATGGGGACGGAAGTGTGGGCTCACACATCAGAGGCGGCCACCTGGAGGAGGTGAGGCTTGTGTTTTCAGTATTGAGTTAGATGTGTTGAACAAAAGAAGCCAGATACCAAAGTGGACAATATTATAGGATTCCATTTTCATAAAGTTCAAGATTGGCAAAACTTGTCTATGTGATGGAAATCAGAACAGCAGTTACCTTTGCAGGAGGTTACTGATTGGAAAGGGACAAAAAAGGAACCTCCTGGCACGTCTGTGTCTTGATCTGCGGGCATGTGTACGTGGCTGTACCTAAGTAAACACAGATCTGTATACACTTAAGATTAGTGCAGTGTTTTATGTGTGTGTTCTTCAATAAAGCAATCAAATAGGGATGATGAGTGGGCACAGCTCGGTAAAAACAGGGGGAAGGAAGGTCGTACTTGAGAGAGAGAAGAACAAATAGGAAAGGTGTGGAATAGCATGTTGACTTCCAGACTGTAAGAAGTCTGCTCTGTCTGGATGGAAGGATGGATACACGTCGCGGAGTGAAGATAGAGTGATGGTGAGAAGCATCTTTTAGGTGCAGGCCGTTGTGGGAGAAAAAAAAAATTTTTTTCTCCAAGTTTTTTTTTTTAAAGTACCAGGCAAAAAGGCATTTTTTTTTTTTTTTTTTTACTTTTTAAAAAATTTAAGTATAGTTGATTTTACAACATAGTGCCAATCTCTGCTGTATAACAGAGTGACTCAGTTTTACACATTTTTACATTCTTTTATTAATATTCTCTTCCATTATGGTTTATCCCAGGAGATTGGATATAGTTCCCTGTGCTATACAGTAGGACCTGTTGTTTGTCCATTCCAAATATAATAGTTTGCATCTACCACCCCCAAATTCCCAATCCATCTCTCCCTTTCCCCCCTCCCCCTGACAACCACAAGTCTGATCTCTATATCTGTGAGTCTGTTTGTTTTAGAGATAGGTTCATTTGTGCCATATTTTAGACTCCACATATAAGTGATATCATATGGTATTTGTCTTTCTCTTTCTGACTTACTTCACTTAGTATGATAATCTCTGGGTCCATCCATGTTGCTGCAAATAGCATTATTTCATTCTTTTTTATGGCTGAGTAATATTCCATTGTATATATGTACCATATCCTCTTTATCTATTCATCTGTCGATGGACATTTAGGTTGCTTTCGTGTCTTGGCTCTTGTAAATAGTGCTGCAGTGAATATTGGGGTGCATGTGTCTTTTTGCATTTGAGTTTTGTCCGGGTATATGCTCAGGAGTGGGATTGCTGGATCATATGTTCTATTTTTAGTTTTCTGAGAAACCTCCATACTGTCCTCCATAGTGGCTGCACCAAGTTATATTCCCACCAACAGTGCAGGAGGGTTCCCTTTTCTCCACACCCTCTCCAGCATTTGTTATTTGTAGACTTTTTAATGATGGCCATTCTGACCGGTGTGAGGTGATACCTCATTGTGGTTTTGATTTGCAGTTCTCTAATGATCAGTGATGTTGAGTGTCTTTTCTTTGTGCCTGTTGGCCATCTGTATGTCTTCTTTGGAGAAATGTCTATTTAGATCTTCTGCCCATTTTTTGATTGGGTTGTTTCTTTTTTGATTTTGAGTTGCATGAGCTGTTTGTATATTTTGGAGATTAAGCCCTTGTCAGTTGCATCATTTGCAAATATTTTCTCCCATTCCATAGGTTGTCTTTTTTTTTTTTCTGGCTTCCTTTGCTGTGCAAAAGCTTATAAGTTTGATTAGGTCCCATTTCTTTTTTAAAATTTTTATTTTTTATTTCTATAAGGCATCCCTTCTTAAGAAGGTAGAGTGGCATAGTAGAAACTGACCTTTCATTTGGGTCGCTTACCTCTGAACTTCTGTGCAGTCTTCTCATCCCTTAAACAGGCTTTTGGGAAGCTTACAGGAAATAATGGATGTCAAGTGCTGTATCTGCCATGTAAATGCTTCTTAAAAGATTTTCAAGTGTGTATGTGTGTGTGGTTTATTTAATCATAGTGCTAATACTTGACTTTCCAAATCAAAAACCTGGTTACTATATTATGGAGTAATGCTTGCTCATCTGAAACTTTTGATCCTTTAGTTAAATAATTATTCTGTTTCATGTAATTGTAGCTTAATATTGTTTAAAAGCTTTTGGTTGTTTTTTATCTTAAAAATATTTTTTTTCCTGTAATCACTAAATTATTGTAAGCATTTGAGAACAAAGAATTTCTATTTCACTAAGGCTCATACTTGGCAACATTTGTTGTATGAGGAACAGAACTTTAAATAATGTCAGGTTTCTCATTTATGTGGAAATGGGTTGTGAGTGTGGGGGAAGGAAAAGAGGAGAGGGAGTGGCAAGAGACTGATTTACTAGGATTTTTTTAAGTGAAATTTACTTTTTTGAAACGTTAAACATCAGATTATATGAAATATCTTTTTGTGATTATAATGTATTAGTGTAATCAGATATTTGTTAAATGATGAGAAATTCCACTTAATAACAAGCTAAATTCATTCAGAATCTTTTGAGATTTCCCAGATGATCATTTTTATTTTAGTAATCGTTTTTCATTTTTAAATAACTCTTACCCTAGCTTTGAAGGCCAGCCACTTACCTCTCTAGAGCATGTCTGCCCTGTTTTCAGGGAATGCCTTTGCATTCTAGAACATACTTCATTCTGTGTCTAAGCACCACTGAATCTCTCAACGGATCTGCCCTCTGTGTTTAGGAGCGAGCGAGCCCGCTGGATAACTGCCCTGGGACACAGCAGCGGGAAGCAGCCTCCAAACCGAACCTGTAAGTACCTGGAGAGCCGTCTGCTCTGGAACGTGGAGGGCTCTGCCCCCTGCTGGTCACTGGGTTATTAGTGGTTAACCTCCACAGTACCTGCTTTGTAAGTTTTCTCCAAGATTTCCTTCCTGCCGCCCCTCCTCAGCTCTGGATGCTCCCTGCTTTGGAAGTCAAGGGGACTGAATTCAAAGTGCAGTTCTTTGCTGTGTAAACATGGCAGATCACTGCATAGCCCTTCTGAGCCTCTTAAATCATCTGCAAGTTAGGTGCATTATTATATACAACACGGCATTATGACAGTGAGGATTAAGTTAAATTTACATTGAAAGCCCTGCTTATACTATAAAGCTCTTAAATTTCTAGCTGTTATGGGCAATAGTAGCATGTTTAAACCTTCTCCATACTGACAGTGTGAATCTAAGCTGAAATGGATTTTTAACCTTAAGGTAAATTACTTTACCCTTCCTTTTGACTTTTTTTTAAATTAATATTAAAAAATATATTTTATTTTTCTAGGGAACTCGCTACTGGTACAGTAAAGATTAGTGTCATATGCTGAGCATCTTGTTATGCTGCTCTGCATGATTCCAGCTGGAAGGTCAAATTCAAAGAATTAGGGCAGCAAGAGTGGATTCCTGGAGCACTCAAAAATCATAGTTTTAAGCTTAGAGTCAGAGCTGAAGTGACTGGTTTGAAAGTTCTCTGGAATCAAGTTTCATATTAAAAAAACCGAGTAAAAAGGCCAGCCAGTAGGAAGTCACTGAAGTAAAAATTGATTTGTTATGATCGAGAATTTGGGGGAAACTAAAATGTTTTCTAACCAACTTTTGCTTGGAGCTCCTTTTATTTCTAAACTCTGGCAGCTTTTATGTGCTGTTGGGTGGGCTGGGGGAGCACCCTGGATGAGAGCCAGGAGAACTGGATAGATTTTGGATTTTATCCTCATGGCCTTGGCACATACCTAATCTATCTTGACTCAGTTTCCCCAATGCACAGTGACTGTTTTCTGCTCTATTGTGTGATGTATCTAATGACTTCTTATCAAGGCTATTTTTGAGGGGATTCATGTATCGTAAAAGGCCTCTCTCAATTCTGAGCTTCTAAAATCCTAAAGCTCTTAGCCAAGTAAGAGAATTCCTGGGAAAGATTTTCTGCTTTTTAGGAGTCTACCTTGTTTCTATCTGTGCTGGCTCTGATTGCACAGAAAGACTAAGTAAATGCAGAATATTGATTTGTACCTGTTTTGTTTTTCCACTGCTACCGGAAGTTCATTATGTCCCCTTTTGCCCTTAGCACTGACCCAAGTGGAAATCATTAGATCATTTACTGCCAAGCAACCAGATGAACTCTCCCTGCAGGTGGCGGATGTGGTCCTCATTTATCAGTGTGTCAGCGATGGTGAGTGGGAGTGTTCTGATGGGGGCGCTGGTGGTTCAGGGTCTCATTTTGTCATCACTGCTTATATTCCCTATCCCTTTGGTTTCCTCATATGCGCCTGCCTCTCCTTTATCTACACTTTATTGCTTCTAAATGTTTTTTTAATAGGATCCGGTCACATGGTTGTTCACTTAGAAAATAAAAGTCAGTTGGGAGACAAGATGGCAGAGTAGAAGGACTCGTAAGCTCACCTCTTCTCACGAGCATACCAAAATCACAGCTAATTGCCGAACAACCGTTGATAAAAAAAAAAAAGGACTGGAACCTACCAAAAAAGATTTTCTGTATCCAAAGGCATGAAGAAGAAACCTAATGAGATAGTAGGAGAGGTGCGCTCATGATATAATCAAATCCCATACCCCCCCCCAAGTGGGTGACCCACAAACTGGAGAACAATCATATCACAGGAGTTTTCCCACAGAAGTAAGAGGTCTGAGCCCCATGTCAGGCTCCCCAGCCTGGGGGTCTGGCATATAGGAGGAGCAGCCCCCAGAGCATTTGGCTTTGAAAGCCAGTGGGGCTTGAGTGCAGGAGCTCCACAGGAATGGGGGAAACAGAAACTTTACTCTTGGAGGGCTCACACAAGGTCTCGTGTGCACCAGGACCCAGGGCAAAAGCAGGTCTGTCCCAGGCTCCTATGAAGTCACTACCTGTGGGTCTTGGAGGGGCTCCTTAGAAGTGGGGGGTTGGCTTTGGCTTACTGTGGGTACATAGACACTGGTGGCAGACATACTGGGCTACATTCAACCACATGAACAATTCTGGTGGATGACATATTGGCTCATTAGTACCAAGACCTGGCTCCACCCAACAGCCTGTCGTTCCAGTAGTGGGACACCTCAGGCCAAACGACCAACAGGGTAGGAACACAGCCCCACCCATCAGCAGACAGGCCGCCTAAAGACTTCCTGAACCAGACCCACCCCATGACACGGCCCTGCCTCCAGAGGGCCAAGATCCAGCCCACTTCACCAGGGGCAGACACCAGAAGCAAGAAAGCTACGATCCAGCAGCCTGCAGAGCCGAGTACACAAATGCAGATCAGAACCTACCCTGAGACCAGTTGGTCCCTGGCCCTTGGGTGATGAGAGGGGAGTGTACTGCTGAAACACACAGGACATCCCCTATAGAGGGCCACTTCTCCAGTCTTGAGAAACATAACTAACTTTCCTCATACATAAAAATACAAACAGAAATTTAAACAAAGTGAGATGGTAGAGGAATATGTTCCAGAATGAAGGAACAAGATAAAAGCCCAGAAAAACAATTTACCTGACGCAGAGATAGGCAGTCTACCTAAGAAAGAATTCCAAGTGATGATCGTAGAGATGATCCAAGAATGTGGGAAAATAGATGCACAGAGCTAGAAGTTACAAGAAGTTTTTAACAAAGAGTTAGAAAAGATAAGAACAACCAAACAGAGTTGAAGAATACAGTAATTGAAATGAAAAGTGCACCTAGAAGGAATCAATAGCAGAATAAATGAGGCAGGAGAATTGATAAGTGAGCTGGAAGACAGAGTGGTAGAAATCACTGCCACAGAACAAAGAAAAAAGAATGAAAAGAAATTAAGACAGTACAAGAGACCTGGGACAACATCAAATGCACCAACATTTGCATTATAGGGGTCCCAGAAGAAGAGAGAAAGGTCCTGAGAAGATATTTTAAGAGATAATAGCTGAAAAATTCCCTAACACGAGAAAGGAAATAGTCACTCAAGTCCAGGAAGCACAGAGTCCCATACAGGATAAACCTAAGGAAGAAGACACTGAGACACACAGTAATCAAACTGACAAAAATGAAAGATATAAGAGAATCCCCATAAGGTTATCAGCTGATTTTTCAGCAGAAACTCTGCAAACCAGAAGGGTGTGGCACGGTATATTTAAAGTGATGGAAGGGAAAAACCCACAACCAAGAATACTCTACCCAGCAAGGTTCTCATTTAGATTTGATGGAGAAGTCAAAAGCTTTACAGACAGGCAAAAGCTAAGAGAATTGAGCACCACCAAACCAGCTTTACAACAAATGCTAAAGGAACTGCTCTAGGCAGTAAAGAAAAGGCTACAACTAGAAACAAGAAAATTACAAAATGGGAAAGCTTACCGGTAAAGGCAAACATACAGTAAAGGTAGGAAATCATCCACACAGAAATATGATATCTAAATCAGTAATCATGAGAGGAGAGTACAAATGCAGGATATTTGGAATGCATTTGAAATTAAGAGATCAGCAACTTAAAACAATCATGTATATATATGGACTGCTGTATGAAAACCTCATGGTAACCAAAAATGTATAATAGATATACACACAAAAAAGAATCCAAACGACACTAAAGATAATCATCAAATCACAAGAGAACAAAAGAGAAAAGAAGGAAAAGGACCTACAAAAACAAATCCAAAGCAATTAACAAAACAGCAATAAGAACATACATATTGTTACCTTAAACGTAAATGGATTAAACGCTGCAACCAAAAGACATAGGCTGGCTGAATGGATACAAAAACAAAACCCGTATACAGGCTTCCCACAAGAGACCCACTTCAGATCTAGAGACACGTACAGACTGAAAGTGAGGGGATGGAAAAGGGAATTCCAAGCAAAAGGATTTCCAAATCAAAGAAAGCTGGAGTAGCAATACTCATATCAGACAAAATGGACTTTAAAATAAAGACTGTTAAAAAAGACAAAAAAAAGGACACTACATAATGATCAAGGGATCAATCCAAGAAGATAGAACAATTGTAAATACATATGCACTCAGCATAGGATCACCTCAATATATAAGGGCAAATGCTAACAGCTGTAAAGGGAGAAACTGACAGTAACACTATAATAGTGGGGGACTTTAACACTTCACATCAATGGACTGATCATTCAGACAGAAAATCAATAAGGAAACACAGGCCTTATATGACACTCTAGACATCGACTTAATTGATATTTATAGAGCATTCCATCTGAAAGCAGCAGAATACACATTCTTTTCAAGTGCACATAGAACATTCTCCAAGGTAGATCACATGCTGGGCCACAAAGCAAGCTTTGGTAAATTTTAAAAAATTGAAATAATATCAAGGCATCTTTTCTGACCACAACACTATGAGATTAGAAATCAACTACAAGAAAAAAACACCAACATGTGGAGGCTAAACAATATGCTACTAAAGAACCAATGGATCTCTGAAGAAATCAGAGGAAATCAAAAAATACCTAAAGACAAATGAAAATGAAAACATGATGATCCAACCCTATGGGATGCAGCAAAAGCAGTTCTAAGAGGAAAAGTTTATAGTGATACAAGCTTACCTCAGGAAACAAGAAAAATCTCAAATAACCTACCTAACCTCACACCTAAAGCAACTAGAGAAAGAACAAAACCCAAAATTAGTAGTAGGAAAGAAATCATAAAGATCAAAGCAGAAATAGAGACTAAGAAAACAATAGAAAAGGTCAATGAAACTAAAAGCTGGTTCTTTGAAAAGATAAACAGAATTGATAAACCTTTAGCCAGACTCATCAAGAAAAAAAGGAAGGGCCCAAATCAATAAAATTAGAAATTAAAAAGAAGTTATAGGGGCTTCCCTGGTGGCGCAGTGGTTGAGAGTCCGCCTGCCGATGCAGGGGACACAGGTTCGTGCCCTGGTCCGGGAAGATCCCATATGCCGTGGAGTGCCTGGGCCCGTGAGCCATGGCTGCTGAGCCTGCGTGTCTGGAGCCTGTGCTCTGTGATGGGAGAGGCCACAACAGTGAGAGGCCCACATACCGCAAAAAAAAAAAAAAAGTTATAGCTGACACCATGGAAATACAAAGGCCCATAAGAGACTACTACAAGCAACTATATGCAAATAAATTGGATAACCTAGAAGAAATGGACAAATTCTTAGAAAGGTGCAATCTCCCAAGACTGAATGAGGAAGAAGTAGAAAACATGCACAGACCAATTACAAGTACTGAAATTGAATCTGTGTTTTAGAAACTCCGAATAAACAAAAGTCCAGGACCAGATGGCATCACAGGCGAATTCTACCAAACATCTTCCCAAACATCTAGTGAAGAGTTAACACATATCCTTCTGAAACTATTCCAAAAAACTGCAGAGGACGGAACATTTCCAAACTCACTCTATGTGGCCATGATCATCCTGATACAAACCCTCAGCTAACATCATACTCAATGGTGAAAAGCTGAAAGTATGTCTTCTAAGATCAGGAACAAGACGAGGATGTCCACTCTCACCACTTTAATTCAACATAGTTTTGGAAGTCCTAGCCACAGCAATCAGATGAAAAAAAAAGGAATTCAAATTGGAAAAGAAGAAGTAAAATTGTCACTGTTTGCAGATGACATGACACTGTAAATGACACTATAAATAGAAAATCCTAAAGATGCTACCAGAAAACTACTAGAGCTCATCAGTGAATTCAGTGAAGTCACAGGATACAAATTAATACACAGAAATCTGTTGCATTTCTATACACTAATAGCAAAAGATCAGAAAGAGAAATTAAGGAAAGAATCCCATTTACCGTTGCATCAATAAGAATAAAATGCATAGGAATAAACCTACCTAAGGAGACAAAATACCTGTACTCTGAAAACTATAAGATGCTGATAAAAGAAATTGAAAATGACACCAACAGATGGAAAGGTATACTGTGTTCTTGGATTGGAAGAATCAATGTTGTCAAAATGACTCTGCGAGCCAAGGCAATCTACAGATTCAACACAATCTCTATCAAATTACCAATGACATTTTTCACAGAACTAGAACAAAAAATTTTACAATTTGTGTGGAGACACAAAAGACCATGCATAGCCAAAGAAAAGAGAGCTGGAGAAATCAGGCTTCCTGACTTCAGACTATACTGTAAAGCTACAGTAATCAAAACAGTATGGTACTGGCACCAAAACAGCACATAGATCAATGTAACAGGTTAGAAAGCACAGAAATAAACCCATGCACCTATGACGACTTAATCTACAACAAAGGAAGCAAGAATACACAATGGAGAAAAGACAGTCTCTTCAATAAGTGGTGCTGGGAAAACTGGACAGCTACATGCAAAAGCATGAAATTAGAACATTCTCTAACACCACACACAAAAAGAAAGTCAAAATGGATTAAAGACCTAAATGTAAGACCAGATATGATTAAAAACTACTAGAGGAAAACATAGGCAGAACATTCTGACATAAATAGTAGCAATATCTTTTTGGATCTCTTTCTTAGAATAATGGAAGAACAAAAATAAACAAATGGGACCTAATTAAACTTAAAAGTTTTTGCACAGCAAAGGAAACCATCAACAAAATGAAAAGACAACCTATGGAATGGGGGAAGATATTCGCAAATGATGCAACTGACAAGGGATTAATCTCCGAAATATACAAACAGCTCTTACAGTTCAGTATCAAAAATACAAACAACCCAATCAAAAAATGGGCAGAAGATCTAAATAGACATTTCTCCAAAGAAGACATACAGATGGCTAAAAAGCACATGAAAAGATGCTCAACATCACTAATTATTAGAGAAATGCAAATCAAAACTACAATGAGGTCACCTCACTCCGATCAGAATGGCCATCATTAAAAAGCCTACAAGTAAATGCTAGAGAGGGTGTGGAGAAAAGGCAACCTCCTACACTGTTGGTGGGAATATAAATTGGTGCAGCCACTATGGAGAACAATATGGAGGTTCCTTAAAAATAGAGCTACCATACGATTTAGCAATTCCACTCCTGGGCATATATCTGGAGAAAACCATAATTCAAAAAGATACATGCAGGCTTCCCTGGTGGCACAGTGGTTGAGAGTCTGCCTGCTGATGCAGGGGACACGGGTTCGTGCTGTGGTCCGGGAGGATCCCACATGCCACGGAGCGGCTGGGCCCGTGAGCCATGGCCGCTGAGCCTGCGCTCTGCAACAGGAGAGGCCACAACAGTGAGAGGCCCATGTACCACAAAAAAAAAAAAAAAAAAGATGTGGTACATGTATACAATGGAATACTATTCAACCATAAAAAGGAATTAAATAATGCCATTTACAGCAACATGGCTATAGCTCAAGATTATCATACTAAGTGAAGTATAAGCCAGAGAGAAATATATGATTTCACTTACATGTAGAATCTAAAAAAAGATACAAATGAACTTGTATACAAAACAGAAACAGACCCAAAGACATAGAAAACAAACTTACGGTTACTACAGGGGAAGGGTTGGGGGCAGGAGGGATAAATTAAGAGTTTGGGATTAACATATACACACTACTATATATAAAATAGATAACCAACAAAGACCTACTATATAGCATAGGGAATTATACTCAATAATTGTAAAAACCTATAAGGGAAAAGAATCTGAAAAAGATATATATATATATATATATATGTATAACTGAAACACTTTGCTATACACCTGAAACTAACAGAACACTGTAAATCAACTATTCTTCAATAAAAATAAAGTAAAAAAATAAAAGTCATGTTCTTCCTACCCAAAACATCATCCCTTTCTGCAACTCAGCCCAAGCTCAACACTCTCCTAGACACCTCACTTCAGGGCCTCCGATCATGTTCTGCCTCTCATCATGATATGCCATTGAGTCCCTCTTGAAACCTTTCCCCCATTCTACCTCTCTCTCTCACCTTGCATCATCCGTGGTACCCAACCTGGGGCAGGATACTGCCTCTGAAATTTGCCCATATCGTCCTCCCTCGGAGCTGAACAGTCAAGATTCATCCAAATACTTGGTGCCCCATGAGGACTCTGCTCTTCTTTGCAGGCTGGTATGAAGGGGAAAGACTGCGAGATGGAGAAAGGGGCTGGTTTCCTATGGAATGTGCCAAGGAGATAACATGTCAAGCTACAATTGATAAGAATGTGGAGAGAATGGGACGTTTGCTGGGGCTGGAGACCAACGTGTAGCCTCTCTGATGGTATTTTGTCACTGGGAGATTTGCACTACATCATGGTGGGCTGGTTGGTTCAAGGCCGGTTTTGATGTTAACTTTAACACAGCCTATTTAATTAAAAGAAAGGAAACACTTGCCCTTAAGCTTGCCAGTTGGTTCTGTTCTCTCAGGGGAACAGCTACTGGACAGTTAGTCCACGAAGCTCCGTTTGTGCACAGCAATCCTTTTGCAAACCTCTTCAGGTAAACAGAATAGCTGAGCAGTCCACTTCAGGGGTGAGGCAGCCTCAGCTACTCCTAGTTGTATCATGTTCTGGCGTTAAAAATATATATATACATATATATATATATATATATGTAAGATGCTACATCCTGGTTTTCTCTATCCTCACTTAACCAAGAATGTATGCTATCCCTCTTTAAACATCTCCTTCGTATGGTTCTTCCAGTATTAGCAAGGTTTTATATCTTTAAGGAATACCCAGTTTTGTAAATATTGCTCCTGCCTCTTATATTTTAGATCTGATGCTAATGCTTTCTTGATTTCAAAAGGAACTGGTAGAGTTCTGAAGGTGAGCTCAGTTTTTCTAAACCTCTTCCCAGGAAAGGGAAATTGACACTTGAATTTTTTCCACCTCTTTCCTCATTAGAAGGGAAGTAAGGAGCCTTACTTTAAAGATTTTTTAAAAATCCATCTCACCCAACTTCGGTCTTTGGTAAGTATATTCTAATAAAACGTAAACTACTCTAACAATATAGAATTTAGATGGTTCATATATGTGAGAAAATCCTGAATATAGGACAGGGGTCGTACTTTTTAAAAATAGACCTATATGAGATGATAAACTGACGTGAGGCTGCTTTGCCTTCAATAATGTACGGTTTTTGACTGTTCCTACTCCCATTTCCAAAAGGAAATTGGCTGAAACACATTTTAACAATCTCAAGGAAGATAAAATTGGACCTTAAAAGGTATCAAGAAGGCAACATGGTGTACCTAGTTGCAACATAACATTTTGACCTTAATGGGAACTCATTTTATTTGCACTAAAGGCCTTGCTTGCTGGATTTGAAGTCTCTCTTAACTGCGGGTGTCTGTAGAACTTTATTTCTTCCACTGATGCAAGGAGAGGAAAGTCATTGTAATAGTACGTTTCATAAAGAGGGAATTGGAGGGTTTGGAAGAGTGAGGGGAGGAGTGATTTTTTTACTGGCAGCTACGTTCCCTCTCTACTCCATTCTCTTTCATGGAGGGGTAAAACCTGGCAAAGGGTACATCATTCAAGGACTCAGATCCATGTGTGACATGTCCCCAGCTACTGACTGCCAACCAGTTACTCAATTGTGAGTAACTTTGCAGAAGCCCAGTGCGGGAGGTGAGTGTGCTCGGCCCACATGCTCTGTGTCCTGTCACTGCAGCAGTGAGCCTGCAGGGGGCACCTGCAGCTGCCTCGCCTGTGGATTGCTCTCCTTTATCAATGCACACATTTCTGAGTATAAAGACATGCCAGGCCCCGAGCTCCTTGAGTTCTGGGCCAGTCTGTCAATGGAGAATAGCAGTGGACCCAGCAAGCAAGGTCTTGGGTTTGGTAAAACAAGAAATCTATCTCCTCTTTGATGTCACAGAATTTCTGGAGGAGAAGCTAACAAATTGAAATCTAATCTAATGGAATGTTTTCATTTAGGAAGGAAGGTAAATGTGTTGCTTGCAAAGAGACCATTTTGTATTATTTTTGCTAACACCCTGTTGACACTAAAAAGCAACTATATGAATCCTGTGAATTAATTTATCAGTAGAGATGGTGAACAGTTTTGGAATATGTGCATGTTATAAATCAGAGCCTATTTAGCAAGCAGGTTAATACTATTATTAGATAAAGTGTTGTTTTATGGCAGGTATTAACTCATTCACAGTGTTTCAGTTCAACCGTGAACATGACACAGTATTGTTTTTCAAACTTAGTAGCTTCTCTGAATTGTACAATGACTTCATTCAGTGACCTGTGGAGAACAAAAATATTCATTTTTGTCCCAATGAATTGAGATTGCTTGTACACTTTTGGCAAAATATGTGAGCTTATAAAGATTTTGTACTTGTTCTTTCGTGCTGATGTGATTTAATTTACTATAGGATGTGTTCATTTAAGTACATAGTTTGCTGAATTTTGAGCCAAATCAGAGTTCTACTCAAAAGGTATCTGCAGCTAACATTGAAGGTGTCTGATCTTTCTTTTTTGGGTACATATGGGCCTTAGCTGCCCTAGAAGGCTGGGGCATTTTTAAGAACTGGGCCATCCTGTTTCTTCTTATAGTTTCGACAAAACTGCATGACTGAACAGCTTACCTCAAATAGTTCATAGCTTCCTAACTGCTGCTGACCCTTGGAGTATATACCTTATTATCATTCATTTTGGCCCCTCAGTGTCTGAACCTTTGTGCTTGGGACATTTCACCACCTTGTGCATCTTGGTGGAAGACAAAGAATGACTCCGTGTTATTTTCTTTTCCTGAATAAAATTTCCACAAACTTAGTGGCTTAAAACATTCCTGTATGGTCTCACAGTTCTGTAGTCAGAAGTCTAGGACTGCTTGGCTGGGTTCTCTGCTTAGAGTCTCAAAAGGCTGAAATGAAAGTGTTGGCTTAACTGCTTTCCAGCTCATACCTGTTATTTGCAGAGTTCCATTCCTTGTGACTGTAGGACTGAGGCCCCTGTTTCCTTGCTGGCTGCTGGAGGCTGGGGGGATTGGAGGGTGCTCACAGCTTCCAGGAACTGGAATTCCTTGCCACGTGGCTCCTTCCATCTTCTAGGCAGCAGTGGCGTGTTCAGTCCTTCTCACACTTGGAATCTCTCTCATTACATCTTATGCTACCAGCTGGAGAAAACTCTGCTTTTAAAGAATTCATATAATTATATTAGACCCATAGAATAATTTCCCTTATGAACTCAAATTCAACCGATTTGGGACCTTAATTAGATCTGTAAAATTCCTTCGCCATGCAGTGTCACCTAATCGTAGCTGCAACACCAAGGAAGCAGAGATCATGGGATCATCTTAGAATTCTGTCTACAACACCCTCTATAAAACCTTAAAATGCTAGTTTTCCAGCATTCTTTGCAGCTAAAATACAGCTATGTGATAGGATACATAAATCAAAGGCATCTCTGTTGGATTTTCGCTCAAGGTAGTGACGAAAGAGGGAAGAGATGAGGAATATCATCTTTGGAAGTAGCAGGATGCATCCTCCTCTTTGGTCCCTCCTCCATCCCAAATTACTGCTGCGTTTTCCTTGGACTCTGGAAAGCAGCAGAGAGGCAGCTGTTTGTTTGGTAGACTTGCAGTACTAAATAACACAGGTCAGAGTTAAATAACACAGGCGAGAGTTTAGTGCCTACCATAATCTCCATTGTGGGTTCCGTCTCCAAAGGGCTTCCTCTGGAGTGAGGAAGTAAACCTCAAGGGCCTCGAGCTTCACTCTTCAGGCATCTAGCATACCAAGGTCCTGACAGGAGGAAATAAAACCTTGCTCTAGAGAAAGCTATCATCATCTTAGTTCTCAATTATTTCCAAAAAACAAATTCTCAAATGAAAGGATCAGCAAAAGAACAAAAAAAAAAACCTCTGAGAGACAGCATCTGGATACAGGAAAAACAAAAACAAAACAAAAAAACTGATACATTCACAGGGACTCTAGACAGTAAAATCATTAGTAAAATACAATTGCTTCGTTTATGGAGATAAAGCCAAACTTCAAAAAGCAATATAGAACAACCAACCAAAAGAAGTGAGAGAAAAAACAACTAGAAAATATGGAACTGGATTTAACATCAGATTTGATAGTTAAAAGATTCTGGTGAACTGAAGAGAGGCTAGAAGAAACCTACAAGGAAGCATGAAGAAGAGAGAGATGGGAAGTGCAGGATTTAACTGGAGTCTCAGAGGAGAGAGAGGGGAAACAGAGGGAGCTTTGGCAAGGAGACTAGGTCTTTCTAACCTTGCTCTGACCAGTCATAGGATGCAGGCTGTGGCCTTGGGTGAGGCGAGGACAATTCCTGCAGAGGGCTGGTGAGTGAAGGCTGTCATCTGGTAGCACTTCCAGCAGCTAAGGGAATACCATCAGTCCTGATGGAGGATCTGGGCAGAATATCACAACATTCACTACCTGTAGCTATGTCAATATTAGATAAAACAAGTCTGTAAGATAAAGGGTATGACTAGGGATAGAGCCTACATAATGATGAAAGTTTCATTTAACCAGGAAGATATAACAATTCTAAATATATATTCTTCCAACAATATGGTCTCAATAATAAGACAAAAATGAGCAGAAATATAAGAATTAAATCAAAAGTCACAGAATGAGACTTTAACACACCTCTCTCATTTGATAGGAAAAATAAAAAATCAATGAAGATGTAGAAGCTTTGGACAAGAATAACATAATAGGCTTATATAGGACACGCTGCGATTTCAGCATATACGTTCTTTTCAAGCACACGTAGAATATTTACTTTTGACTACTTCCTGGGTCATAAAACAAGTTTCAACAAATTTTAAAGGACTGAAGTTATACAGAGTGAGGTCTCTGATTACAACATGATTAAGTTGGATATCAATAACAAAAATTAAGAAATATCCATTTATGTAGAAGCTCTGACCTAAATTTAAGATGCAAAACTATAAAACTCCTAGAATACAGGAGAAAATCTAGGTAGTCTTGGGTTTGGAGACAACTTTTTAAATATAACACCAAAGACATGATCAGTGAAAGAAAAAACTGAGAAGCTGAATTTCATTAAAAGACAGGAGAATGAAAAGACAATCCACAGAGTTGGAGGAAATCTTGCAAAATATACCTGATAAAGGATTGGCATCCAAAATATACAAAGAACTCTTAAAACTCAATAATTAGAAAACAAAACACCCAATTAAAAATGGGCAAAAATCTAGAAAACTCACCAAACATACACAGATGGAAAATAAGCATATGAGAAGATGCTCAAGATGAAACATCATTAGGGAACTGAAAAATTAAAATGAGATACCACTACACACCTATTAGAATGACTATAAAATCCAAAACCCTGACAACACCAAATACTGGTGAGGACACAGAGCAAGAGGGATTTGCACTGACTGCTGGTGGGAATGCAAAAACCACTGGGAGGAGTTTGGCAGTTTCTTAGAAAACTAAACACTTACCATATGACGTAGCAATCACACTCCTTGATATTTACCTAAATGAGTTTTTTTAAAACTATGTCCACACAAAAGTCTACACACAAGTTTTTATATCAGGTTTATTCATCATGGCCAAAGTTGGAAGCAACCAAGATAATCTTCAATAGATGAATGGATAAACTGTGATACATCCAGACAATCAAATATTAACCAGCAATAAGCAAAATGAGCTATCCATGAAAAAACATGAAGGGGTCTTAAATGCGTATTACTAAGAAAAAGTTGCCAATGTAAAAAGGCTATACGCTGTATGACTCCAACTATATAACATGGAAAAGGCAAAACTATGGAGACAGTAAAAAGATCAGTGGTTGCCAGGGGTTCAAGGAGAGGAAAGGAGGAATAGGTGGAGCACAGAGGACTTTTTTCAGGGCAGTGAAAGTATTCTGCATGTTTAAGTTATGGTGCATACCTGTCATTGTATCAATACATTGATCAAAATATACAACACAAAGAAGCTAATGTTAAGCTAACTAAAACTATGGATTTTAGTTAATAATGTATTAATATTGGCTCATCCCTTGAACGAGCGTACCAAGATGTTAACAATAGGGGAAACTAGGAGGGAGTAAAGGAAATTCTGTACCTTCTGCTCAGTTTTCCTGTAAACCTAAAACTGCTCTAAAAAAATACAGTCCAGTAATTAAGAAGTTCCTCTAACAAAGGAAGTGGCAGAAGTAAACTTGAAACATCAGGAACAAAGACTTGAAACATCAGGAACAAAGAAGGAACAACTGAACAGGTAAACATTTGGGTAAATATAATAGACTATCCTTAAGGTTTTAAAATGTTAGTTGGCTGAAAGCTGTATTACATTGTCTGATATGGTTGGTTCTCAACGTATGTAAAGGAATTATTTGGGAAAACTAAATGGTGGTGTCTTTTTTTAAAAAATAAATTTATTGTATTATTTTTGGCTGCACTGGGTCTTAATTGCTGCACGGGGGCTTTCTCTAGTTGCGGTGAGTGGGCTTCTCGCTGCAGTACCTTCTCTTGTGGAGCACGGGCTCTAGGCGCGCAGGCTTCAATGGTGGTGTCTTACATATATTTTACTTGAAGTGGCAAAATGTTGCTACTTGTTCACTATGATAAGCTATACATGTATACTGTAATCCGTAGAGCAAGCAAAAAATGCCCAAAACTTAAAGAGATATACTGATAAACAAGCACGCAGGCTTCAGTAGTTGTGCCATGCGGGCTCAGTAGTTGTGGTTCACAGGCTCTAGAGCGCAGGCTCAGTAGCTGTGATGCACGGGCTTAGTTGCTCCGCAGCATGTGGGATATTTGGACCAGGGCTCGAACCTGTGTCCCCTGCATTGGCCGGGGGATTCTTAACCACTGCACCACCAGGGAAACCCCAGAATAGTTTTTAAAAGTGACCTAACTATATGTTTGGAAACACATTTAAAATGTAATTATACAGGTTAAGTGTAGAGTAAATGAATCAAAAAATAATATCAAGCAAATGCCAATCAAAAGAAAGCTGGAGGGGCTATACTAGAACAGATAAAGTGGACTTCAGAGCAAAGAAGATTGCCAGCAAAGAATACTACATCACAATAAAAGGGTCAATCTGTGAGGAAGACATAACAACCCTAAATGTGTATGTACCAAATAAATAAAGCTTCAAAATACGCGAAGCAAAAACAGAACTGAAGGGGAAAAACAGACAAATCCATAATATAGTGGTTAAAGGTATAGAACAGAACACCATCAAGGAATGGGACCTAACATTTATTTAGCGAACACTCCACCCAACAACAGATTATACTTTCTTTCCATGTAGGTATGTAATATTCACCAAGACAGATCACATTCTGGGTCATAAACTGACAAATTTAAAGGAACAAATCATACA